ATCTCAGTTTAAATTGTATAACATGATTTTGTTTTTATGAATACAATGAATTAAAAAAAAATTCAAATTAGAAGACAAAATCCTGTCAAGCTATGTTGGACACTAGGGTAAATACTGAATAGTTCTCATTATGGGGACATCAGCAGTTTTAAATACAGAGTATGTGGTTGTAGTGTTGGGTAATGAATACATAAAACTATTTCAGTTTCATTAGATAAATTATATTGCTTTATAGAATTGGTGCATAGTGTCAAAGGATCATGGAGTGTAATAGCTAATGTTACTCAAATAGGTGAAATGACCACGAAGTGTTATTCACTTCACCTGTCAGTGGTCACAATGTTATGCCTGATTGTTGGATATGTCAGTAGTCAGGATTCCTAATGGTAACTGAGTTGTACTCAATTTGCTGCATTCTATCTGTATTATTTTCCTACCAACATACATACTTTTTGCATAATGGTATCTATGTGGTAATAATTTAAATGTGTTAGGTTAATGTAAAATCAGTCCCTTAGGTTAATGTAAAATCAGTCCCCTCATTAAAATGCACATTTATGCAAATTCCTATCAGACCATCTCTATAAGTAGAGAGTTTCTGCTTTGAATTTTTCCAGACTTACTATGTTTTAAGAGCATATCTATTGTAGAGTCACAGACAGCAGCATGAACATAATGTCCTACCATCTGGACTACAACAGTAACGGGACATAAAAAGGTATAAAAAATAAAAACTGACTTTGGAAAATAGCACTTTATAACAATAAAGTGATAGAGTTCTCTTATTGTTTCAAATACATCAAGAGTGAAACGTTAATGTTCCTGTTATGTGCTTTTGCAGTTTCTTTCATTATAGCATCCAAAAGCAGCACAGACTACTCTGAGACAGGCTAGAACATCTGTGGTGGTGAGAGAGAAAACAATCTTGTTCTCTAAATAAAAGAGTAAATAAAATAAAAATTCCTCTTTCTTTTTGCTTTACCTCCCACAAATGTAAAAAAGGAAAAGCTGGCTGCTTTCACCCTACCCTACTTCACCCATTCGCTCTCCCAAGCACCCCCAGTAATTACAGGTACCCTAGCTTTTCCTTTCTCTGTGTTACCAGCCAGCTGGATTCAGGAGGCACTTCACTTATCTATCTTATCATTTCATCTATCTTATCTATCTTTATATTTATCTTCACCAGTGATTAGTTTTAGTTGTGATCCTAGAATAGACTGTTTTCATATTCAATCTCTGATTGTGGGGAGGATGATATCGCCCTCTGCCCTGGCATCCTGGCTCACCCTTGCTGTAGCATTTATTTGTGAAGTACCTCATTAGGCAGTCGGCATTAAGGGCCTTGCCTAAGAGCCCACGCTGGATATCGCCCTGACATAGACTCAAACCCTGACCTGCTGTACCATGGTCAGTGGTGTTAACCACTGTGTATTCTGAAATACACAGAAGTACTGGTTTAAACAGTTGAATTTTATACCTGTCCATGATGCTCAGCATCTGTAAAAGTTGTCCTGAACACACCACATGGATGGCGAGCATCTCTTCACTTCAACCCAGATGGACGGCTCCAGGGGGAGCTGAACCACAGACAGACAGGCATCAACATCAGAATCAGTTCATTGGCCAGGTGTGTGGGACACGCACAACATGCAAATGTAAATCACATATGTACAGAATTACTACAATGAGCTGACTTCATTAACAGGGATCAAAGGACAAAATGGACCCAAAGAATTATTCTCTGGATCATTCAAACTCTAGTGTACAACTGCCCTCTGACTCAGTAGGAAATACAGCTGTGCCACTAATATAACAATCTAATGTAAATACATGGGGTTTGAGCATTACCTATTTGCTCTGTTCTGGACATAAACATCAGTTTTAAGTAATCTTGAGCTAAATATATTCCAAGTAAATAAACTGGTTCCAGCACACAGTCATAATTTTATCCATCACATTACCTTTCTGCTGCCTGAAGGGGCAGAGATTGTGGTCTGCATCTCACTGGACAGGGGAGAGTTATTAGTTCAGGAACACCTGTTTACTCCCTTAATAATAAAAATAATAATAATGTTTGTATATTAGTGACAAAAATCTGATTTTTAAATATATTAGTAAAAGCTGACTACACCCTCACAGGGAACTGAACCTCGACCTGCCGTACCAAATACAGTGTGCGATATAAAAGAAAACATTACATTAACACAAAAGCTTACATACTTTGAGTATAAAGGGTCACTGAACCCCCCCAGCATGAGTTTTTTTTTTTTTTTTGGTCTACTGCTCAGGAATGACTGGCTAGATTTGAACATAGTTTATTCTACTTTGATGTGGGTTTTAGACGTTTGGTCAAAGGTTTTACCAAACTGTTTAGTTGCATAAAGTTTATGCATTGATGCACTTTGCATATAGCATCTATTCTATGTGATGGTAAGACTGGCACAGACTACAACTAGCATATGGCAACAAAAACATGTCACTTTACCTAATATTTGGTGTATTTAGATAAAAACATGTAAACATTACAAGACCTGTAAGGTCATGTGTTATTGCTGGCTCAGTTGAAAATACCCTTAAAAAATTAAAGGAAATGCACCTATAACTTAAAGCTAACTAGCTACAAGGTAGTGATAATTTGTTCATTTGAATCCTTTGTCCTTTATCTATTTAATCCTAAAGTGATGGTTTGAAGAGCAGACTCACACTAAGGTTTCTTGCTCAGTATTCTGTCCTCCCTAAATGTCCTTGTCTAGTTTGGCAGGTAGTTAAACAGTCCTAAACTAAAGGCAAAGATGTGTGGTTTCAAACCTCGTTTATTACATCCAATTTGGAAACTGTAAAACTGTAAACACATAACAGGTACAAGCAAACACATTAGATGCTTAGATTGTAGCCAGAAATCATGTCTATATTCTTTAAAATGATAATCACACATTGCAGTAGCTCAATGTTAACTCCCAATTGAAAAACACTTAGACGTAACTAGAATTAGCTTAATGGCCGTGGTATTCTGACTCAGCATCCACCCAATAAACTTTTGTATCCAGCAGCAGACACAGATTTCCGTTTGCTCTTTATTATTCAGAACTGAAGACATGAGCTCACGCAGATCCAACAGGAGGATGTGTGAATGTCAAGCGATGCAGAACAGTCTTGAGTGATTCTAATAAAATGAGGCATCTGCCACCCACTGGCCCAGATACACGCTTTTTTTTTCTCCTCCACCTAAACCCTGCAAAACTCAACCATCAGGAAATCTGTCAGCTCTGTAACTTCTCAGTCATCACAAAATGCAAACGAAGCATTCATTTATGTCATGTTTGGGAATCTTGTATCATCCAGACATTGGTGGCTGATTATATCAGAACCACTTAGCTACAGATCACCATGATAAAGACAAGTAAGATAGTCAGCTTGTACTGAGCTCATAGTGCGGTTTCATTTGCAGAAGCACTGGTCACACTGTAAATGCACAGGGACAAAGATGAAGGGGAAAGGGCTATATTATCAACTACAGTATTAGTATCAAATGGAATACTAGTCTAGTATGTGTATTTCCAGGTCTAACAAGCTAGCTATTGCATAGTTTGTAACAATTTTTTTCTGTTAATAACAAACACTACTTAAGAATTACTAGAAAGAATAGGATTAGGTATTTCTAATATTTCATAATGCTCACTTGTCTCTAGGCAAAAGACACTTGCACTGTTTAACTAACTATACTGTATTCAGTGATTCTGTGCTACTATGCTATGCAAAATCTATGTTTTACGCCCCCATCAAACAGGGAACCAGCACAGGAAATATCCCAACATGATATCACTGCATGTGCAAAAGAAATGTGACTACATATAAAAAGGACCTAGGAGTTTACATCCTAGTGCCATATAGTGCGGAGGCGAACACACACACATACTCTGCACGTACAGCAGCACGTCATGCTGTCTTTACAGAAAAATGCCCTCAGTCCAGATGACGTACAACAATCCATGTAAAAAAAAAAAAAAAACACGCAATAAAGACAGCTGATGCTGCTCAATCTGCAATTTGACAAACACATCAAAATGTCTCAACTGAAACATTTCCATGCAATAATGTTTTCGCACATTTTTGTTTTTTTTTGTGTATTGCCTTTTTGGATGTAAAGTGTGTGAAGCAGTCATGTTTGTGCCAAGTGCTTCGATGCATCATTACATTAATGCCAGTCTTTCTTAGCACTTCATATTGTGGAACATGGGAAATGGACAGGAAGGCAAACTGGAATATAATGACTGAAATCAATGGGTGTTTTTCACTGGCAGTTGATGGGTTACAGGCTTAGACACAGAAGACAGTTGTTATTGGTCAAGAGACCTTTTTCAATACGATTTCCTGCGAGTTAAGCTACATCAATACACTGATATTTTATCACAACCTTTCATTATTCCCTTCTTTTTACTGTTATACAAAAAACATATACAAAAATACCCCATATTACATTCATGGAAGGAATTTTTTTTCATTTCTGAAAAAAGTGCTTTTGCATAACTGACCATGTATGACGCTTTCTTTCTGTCGCTATTTGTCTTCAGGTAGTTTGTTCTACACACAGACCACAGGGGAAATTCACAGTATTGGGGAGTAACAGTTGGTGGCCAGAACGGAGCATGTTTCACTCAAAGGAAAGAGCTAATTAAGTTGGGACGGAGTGTTCAGGGCTGCAAAATGCTTAGATGCTGCCAGGGACCCCAGCTACCCTGGGGGAAGGTTGGTGACGGTGGTGGGGAGTGGGTGATACTGTCCTTCAAGGAGGACAATATGTCATGACAGATGGTACCTGGGGGCAGATTCGATGACAATACTGGCTTAGGGTCTGCCTAATCTAAGATTGGTGGGAATCCAAGATGCAATCAGCATCTAAGACATTGTTTTGTCTCGGTTTTTCCCAACAGGGTTGGGGGTTCTACTCTTGGAGAGAAAGGTGGTAGGCATTAAGGGGTGTTTGCGGTTTGAGGGTCAGCCGCAAGTTTCTCATGCACTGATATACTGGGGAGGAGGTTCCTTAGGTGGGATGGCGATGGCCTCCTCATATGGTGGCAGCAGGACCTGAGATGTAGCAGAAAATGAAAAGGGGTCAGTCCAAACCACTGACTGTAAAAACAATGGACAGGCTAAGAGCTCCCATCAATGAAGTCACTGTGACGTGATTGCCCCCTGGTGGCTGGTTTTAGTATAGGTCATAAATCACACCTCCTCCATGTTAGTGAGTAAGGCGTGATCCACGCTGAAACTCAAAGTACAAATCAGATACATTTTTCCCCCGAGGTGATTTCTGTGGTTTCTGGTAGATATTATCATGCTGATGTGTGGACAAGCAGTTGTTTTACTGGAAAGTTTACTTTTAATGAGTCAGTTGAAGATATAAAAAGAGGTGTATTTCAGTTACTTTGACAGCTTTGCTTGGTGGTCCAACGCTGTCACTACACTTATGGTTGCAAAAAAACAAGATGGTAGCCATCATACTCGTGGTATTTTGGCTTCTTTTTTTTGCATAGTTGTATGATTTACAGTTTTAAAATATAAAATGTTCCTCATTGACTTTGGTCTGGATTGGTATTATCAGTAAAAGTACAAAATTTGCTGAAATTCTGCACATTTTATTTTGATGTATTTTATATTCCAACTTTGATATTATGTAATTACTAAAAGAGAGGTTCTATTTTAAGGGAACTACACAGTGCAGAATTTGGATACAAAAATAAAACGGTGGTCAGTAAACACAGTTCACTAGATATTAAACAGGAAGTGATTTCACAGACAGTCTTAGTAACAAATAGCATGTTCCCCTTCTATATACCCCTTTATTCCTATAGAAGCCATTAGTGGCAGGGAGGGTAACATGCACACACATCCATGTGCTTTGCAGGCCAGATGGCCTTCTCTCCAGAGCTCTCATTGTAAATGGTGTTATAAAACCAGCCCTGCTGCTAATTCAGTGAGAGACGGAGAATATGCTCCAAGGGGATGGAATTGTGAAAGAGCCACAGGGAGACCCGGTGAACACATCACGAGGAGGATTTGAAATGAAGTGGACAAGCAGACAATTATGCAACATGTCCATAAGAAAAGAGGGGGCAGGACAGAAATATATAGAGAGAGCAGGAGGAGGGGAGCAAGAGAGACGACACCCGTGCATTTTAATGGCATTTATATAAAAGCATGGCTGATAAGCAGCTGGGTACTTGATGTTGGAGGCAGTAAAAAGCCATTTAGATACGCTGCCGGCTTTCTAGTTGTAAAAATAGATGGAGTGCTCTATTCACTCAGCACTGTGTGTGGCGAGAGGAAATGCAGTGACAAAACCAGATCATCTTTACTGAGGCCAACATGAAAGTTGTTTAACCTGTTTAAACCACAGATATGTAGGTACTATTTGTTCTCCTGATACCTGTTTAATATAAATATCTAAATATTCACCCCGCTTGTGCTGTGGCCTTCACTTTGAACTAGTTGCTTCAGCATTTGTGTGGTTGTCTTCTTGGCTTCCTAGTTAATAAGAAACCAAGAAAAAAATTAATAAATATTTGAAGTAATAATGAATGTTTTAACACAGGCTTTGTGGGGCTGATTCAGGCCAAAAGACATTTACAGAAGTTTCAAGTTAATTTTGTTTCAATGTGTTATTTAATGTTAATAGTGCCTATTAAGCAAGTACATCTTAGTAACAAAGGGGTTTAATAATACACAAAATCTACCCCCTAAACAGGATTTGTCATTATATTTTTGAGGTAAGCCAGAAATGTAAAAATAAATAATAGTGTAAAAAGAAATATACTTTATTTAAACCACCAACATACAATCGATTGGTATAACTTACATTTTTTGAGGTTATTATCTACTTGATATTTTTCCCAAGTAACATCTAACCTTTTGACTGAAGCTTAAAACAAAACTGTAACAATTTCTATCTCTTTTTACTCTGTATTTTCAGTATCCAACAAACTGCAGTGTTTACTGGTGTATCCTGTTACTTTTCTGAAACTGTTCTGAAAAAGTTCTACGCCTCTGTGTCCTGCCTCCATCATATCTGCCATGGACAAAACAAACTGGCACATCTCCATTAACTGCTCAAAGGCAACAGGATACACAATAAGACACCAGACCCTGCTGGATTAGGTTCTGCTTTCAGACTCTGTTTGTGAAAACATCACATTTACAGTAGATGACAGGAGATGCGAGGCAGATAAATGTCTTATGCATCAGTGTGGAGGATCACAGACAGACAATGGGAACCCTGACTACACTAAGTGGGATGGATGCATTTAGCCAGCCGCGCAGTCGCACCTCAGGACCACCTACAGCAACAACTGTACTGTGCTGCTACCCACAGCACCAATGTCACATCACTGACATAAAACTGCAGGTACACACTAACACTTTTAAACAGCAGAGTCTGAATGCTGCACTCTAATGTAGACACTATTCACCCAGTGTCCACAATATACTACAAACTACACTACTACAAAATGTAATTACTATTATTTACTTCACAGTTCTGTTTTTATGATAATTTATACTTGACAACATATTTTATGCATTTAAGTATTTAATCACCTTAAAAAAAGGCCATTATTTATTGCCTGTCTTAACATGAATCAAACCACATACAGACATTACTAACTCACTTCTCTCATGTCATTTCTAACTTGCCAACATTAATATTCTAAAATGCTGATTATATCTTGCTTATGCATGACATAATTAAATTGGAACGCCTCCTGTCTGGCTTTACATGACTTTGAAAATATTGTCACTTCTACCTGCGCTCTAAGAACTCAGCTGGTTTCATCCATGATTACTCAACCAGGTGCTGGCTAATCAACTCAAGAGCTTTCACCTCTGTGTAATGTTGAAAGAAGCAGCTGTACTGTGAGATTGTGACACTGATGAAGGCAGGATGGCTGGAACGTTCTGTCTTCTCACAAAATAAAGGGATTTCTTGCCACCGAGTGCAATCCTAATTTACAATTATTAGACAAAATATTTTTTAAATCCCTCCCCCCAGTTTTTAGAAATGTTAATTTTAGAATTTTTGGTGCAACATAGAAGATAGATAAAGATAAGTTAAACTAATCTGTCATATCTTTTTCTTTTTTTATTTTTGAAATGGTCAAATTGTCTGTTAGATGAACGCGGCACTTCATTTCCTGCTTTGCAATGTGGTATCGACTACTGGTTCATGAGATATTTCTTACTTGAGAAATGATTATACACACTGAATAAAAATAATTTGTCTTCGTGAGTTATGAGAACTGAAGTCTGACGTTAAGGGTAATGAAGTTTTTTGAGAATTTATGATTTATTAGTGTTAAAAGTTCAATGTTTTTCATACTCTGCCATTCTAAGACATTTGTGATATACTGTATTCCAGTTAATGTGCTAAGCAGAAGGATGGAAACGACTTCAAGGCCTTACATAATGAACAGAAAGCTTGTAAGTCAAAATCATTACAAAATGTTGTATGTAATTATACAATGATTTGAGAATGAAGGATTTTCAGTTTGTCCTTGAGGTGGCTGTGAGGACTCACCGTGGTGTCGTTGGTGGTGACGTACACTAGGACCTCTGTGGTACCCCTGCCGCTCACATATCTGTAGCAGTTCCACACACAGCCAATCAGGTAGGCCTGTCCCCATGAGGTGAAAGCAAAGAACCAACAACGACGTTAACAACATTGTCTCCATGTTTCATTATTACTGATACTGTTAGATATAATCTCATTCATTCATCAAGGTCAACAGAGATGCATCATTTCATTGCTTGATAAAGCCTGATTTTATGAGCACTAAGACAGATAAGGACATATGGCAGATAAATTCAGCTATTAAAAAAATAAAAGACGTTTTGCATTCTCTTGGACAATGCTACACTTTGGGGTTTACCAAAAGCAACTTGTCAGGCATCTCTTGCCTGAGTCTGCACTGAGGTTTACATTTGTTTGACTTGGCAGAAGAACAGGAGGTTCACTGTGTATGTGTGTGTGTGTGTGTGTGTGTGTGAGTAGCCTGCTGAGTTGGTGCCTCTGCCAGCAGTAAGAGCAACCAACCAACCAGAAAGCCAAGCGGACCGCTGGCTGATCACTTTACCATCTGCAGAGTTGACACGGGCTCTAAACTGAGATCAACTTAACCACTCTAAACCACAGTATTATACGCTGAATTGGACTTTTAAAACTAAATGCTCGTAATGTTGATGGTACAGCTAACAGTACCACAGAACCATTTCAGCTTATTTTGGTCATATAACACAGCATTTTGCTTTTCTTTCTTTTAAAGGTACTTACTGTACTCTCCAGTAGGTTTTATTTTGTTCAGCTGGCTGAACACAGTCTGCCTCTGCACTCTTCACTTAATCAATCAGTTTGATCAATATACTTCTAAACAAGGTGTACACAATGCATTTTTTGTTTTTTCTGTCCGTGGCTTTTATATAGTCTTTCTGTTTTCGAGGTACAAGAACATTTTGTGTCAGAGCGGCAGTGTTCTGGCTGGCAGCGCACTTTGCTAGGATGTCACATTTTGACCATCTTGCCCATTTACTCTCTCTTTTTATTCAGCTGAGCTTCTGTCCCTCTCCATCTATCTATCTGCTGTATCCCCCTGTC